CCGCACGCGCGGGCCTCGAGCACCGGCCCCGCCGCCGACGCCGGCCCGACCCCTGCTTTCAGCCCTTGGGTGTGGGGTTTATTTTTATTTATTTATTTTTTTTACATTATATGTTCCCGACTCCAAGGGGAAGCCGCCCAAGCGAATGCCAGACCCCAGAGGCAGAACGACGCTGCAGGTTTCCCTTGCTTCATGCGTTCCTGGGAAACGGGGCATAAAATGTTTTGATACGTTGGGGTGGTTTTTTGTGGGGAGATAATTACATTTTCTCTAATCCAAGACAAATCGGCCCAAACAAATTCCAAATCTGGGAGGCAGAACCATACTACGGGTTTCCCTCGCTTTACGTGTTCCTGGAAAACTGTGTTAAAAGGTTTTGAGACACTGGATTTTTGTATTATTATTAATTTTTCCCTAATCCAAGCTGAATTGACACACACAAATTCCAAATCCGGGAGGCAGAACCGTACTACAGGTTTCCCTCGCTTTATGAGGTACATGTGTTCCTGGAAAACTTCGCATAAAATGTTCTGATACACTGGATTTTTTTTTTAATTACATTTTCCCTAATCCAAGCCAACTCGGCCCAAGCGAATTCCAAGTCCAAGAGGCAGGACCACACTACAGGTTTCCCTCGCTTTATGCGTTCCTGGAAAACAGCGCATAACTCGAACTCGCATAAAGGAAACCCACTTTACGGTGTAACAAATAGGGATACTCCAAGACCTCAACTGTACTGACTCCCAGACCCATTTCCACCGCTTTTACAAGACGATTTTGGTACTCGCCAACAGCAGACAGTGCACACACGCGCACACAGGGTGGTGGTGAATGTTTAGCTGGTTTGAAGAGAGGATGGTGAAGGTTTCGTTGATGGACCAGGGAGAGGGGTAGGAAATAAGCTAGCAGGACGCTTAGAAGCCATCGTGGGGATGACAACTGCAGAAACACGTGTCATGGACAACAAGCGAGGAGCACAGATCCACCCAGAAGACTATATTTTCATGCCCGTCACTCCACCAGGCACCGCACAAAGCAGCTGACTGCGGGCTTCTACCACGCTGATTGCATAAGAGTGAATTTACCTTGCGTGTAATGAATTTTTGGTATAAAAAGTCATCGCACATACAGAACCCACATAAAGTGAGAGTAAGCTGTACCCGCAAACATCTTTCACCCCCATCTCTGGGGCTTCAGATTTTCCAAATGCTTTGGTGGGCGTCCGACGTGCAGGCCCAAGCCTGTAGGCCTGGGGTCAGCATTCCCTCTAAAGTTGGGTGGCCATGCAGGCGCACCCCTGGCATGCCACGCAGCTTAGAGGGAATGCTGCTTGGGGTTTAGATGCCCCCGGTTTTGCTTACCCTCGGCCGTAAGACCTCAGGGGGAAGCTAAGGAGGAGTCTCCCCTTTCCATAAAGTGAGCATAAAGCGGAGACCTATGAATCTATGAAAGCTGAAACTATGAATCTATGAAAACCTTCCCACTCAAGCAGCTAAGTAGGAGGTTCGCTATACATCACCTTGGCAGCTACTATCCCTGTGCCAGGAGAGCAGTCTTCCCCGGTGCACCTAGAAAGACCGCCTCTGTGGTCACGGTGTTTCCCTTGCTAGGGAAGCATAGACTACGCTTGATCTGAGCCTTCAATAGGCCAAGGTTTTTGTTTGTTTTATTTAAATTGTATGTATTCCAGGCCAAATTAATCAAAACAAATTCCAAATGTGAGAGTCCAGAACTATAAGTGGCCCTACTACTGGCAAACATCCTCCACCATTATCCTCCTGGCCTGCTGAGGTAACGTATAGTAAACCTCCCACTTAGCTGCTGGAGTGGAAAGGTCTTGGCTTTACGCTCGCTTTATGGAAAGGGGAGACTCCTCCCTAGCTTGCTCCTGCGGCCTTATGGCTAAGGGCAAGTGAAACTCGGGGGCATCCAAACCCCAAGCCTGTGGGCTTGGGCCTGCGAGTAGGATGCCTGCCAAAGGTTTTGGAAATGTTGGAAGCCCCAGATGGGGGTGGAGGATGTTTGCCAGTAGTAGGGTCACTTATGGTTCTGGTCTGACTCAGATTTGGAATTTGTTTTGGCTAATCTGGATTGGAATATGGAAAATTTAAAAAAAAATTATAATCTGTTAATGCATACCACTGGTGGTACCTGTACCACAGATTGGGAACCGCTGGTTTAGACTGTTCCTGAATCACAGTACAGGTTTCTCTTGCTTTATGCTGTACATACGTTCCTGGAAAACGACGGATAACTTGAACTCATGTAAATGGAATCCACTTTACAATGTAACAAAGAGTGGTAGGAGGTAAGCTAGCGGGACACTAAGAAGCCATCATGGGGATGACAACTACAGAAACACGTGTCGTGGATAACGAGCGAGGAGCACGGATCCACACAGGAAACTATATTTTGGTGCGCGTCACTCCTGCAATGCACCACACAAAGCAGCTAACTGCGGGCTTTCACCACACCGATTACATAAGAGTGAATTTACCTCTCATATAACACATTTTTGGTACTAAAAGGGTCATCGCATAAGAGCAAATTCACACATACAGAATCCACATAAAGCAAGGGAAATCTGTATTGTTAACTCATGATTATTGGCACTGTTCTTAAAGCCTACGCTTTTGGAATGTGAAAACCTTAGTTTTTTTTCTTTTATATATATTTATATGCATAAATATAAGAAAGAGCTAAGTTTTTCACATTCCTGAAGCACAGACTTTAAGAACAAGGCCAACAATCATGAGAGTTGGCAACACTGGAATCAGGACTTCCTGGGCCTCAAAGGCTGGGGGCTGCAAGGAGACGGGGGAAAAAACCCTGCTTGTACCCAGTTCACCCTCCCTGTCAGCATCCGCTCTCTGCCCCTGTGTGACACAGGCCTCCTCCTGTGCGGCTGTAGGACGTGGGCCCAAACCCAAGGTGTGACACTGGACCCGGGGTCTGACCCAGGACCCTGCAATTCTGCTGTTAACTCCCTTTAAAGTCAAAGAAAAGACCAGACAAGAGGAGAGAAGACAGTGCCAGCTCAAATTACCGGCTTGTGGTAGGCACATCATGGGGATCTCATAGTCCTTTCTGGTTTGAAAATGTATGCCTTGGATGGAATTTTGAATTGTTTCCTCAAATGAAAATAAATCAGTCGAGTTCAGTCTTCCATAGCCTTACGTGCTGAATACGTGCAGTGCGAGAGGTTAAGCTAACATGTAAATCTTTTTCAAACTGGGTCCTTTTGCTCTTTGTTAGTCCATAAGATTTTTTTACTTTTTTTAATAACAGGCCTGTATGTGTAAGCTGGATGTCAGCCTTGGTGTCAGTGTTGTTTACCTAACCTGACCTTCTTATTTCTCTAGTTTTTAACCGTGGTGGGTTTTTACAGGTGTGTTTAATGGTACATCTTCCCTTGGATTGCATTTAGCTGTTTAAGTAGTTAGTACTTAAAGTTTTAAGTGCCAATTGCTTAGTAATTAAAACTTGAATCATTGGGTGATTGAAACTTTAATAGTTGGATGTTTAAAGATTTTATCTCAAAGGTGCTGCAAAAGATCTGTCCACAACAATGAAGATGCCATAATACTTTTTAAAATAGTCTCGGAAAAAACTATGCTAAGTACAAGAGTGGTGAGACCTATCCGACACTTTGCTGAAATTCTTGAACATTTCCTGCACTGAAATAAAGATGTGCAAATGATCATGAGACATGGGCAAATACGGATTAAGTATCGTGTTAGGTTTTTCTCTTGAAGTTCATAATTTTTCTGTTGCATTTTAACTATGCATATTTTCAGACAATTTCTTCCAATTAAAAATTATTTCAGATGGAGTAGCAAGTAGGATTTATAAAAGACACTGGAATGTATAAATTCATAACCACGCTTCCAGTATATCCATATACATATTTCCTTTTGCTATAAAAAGCATCAAGGTGTGTTTAGATAGGTGTAACATACTGGTGATTCCCACAAGAAAACATTCAAATGGAAAGGCTTCCTTACTTACCA